GAGCAAGTTTCATGAATGTGACACTTTTATTATGTAAGATAGCAAGGGGTGCATAACGTGGCAAAAATATGCTGACAAAGACTATGTAACATTTGTAAACATATATTTTGATTATTATATGACAAATATGTCAAATTAAACAATACATTTTAAAGCACGTGTGACAGGACGTAACAATAATAAGAAAAAAAAAAAGATTAAAAAAAACAAAAACTGAAAAGGAAGTGACGAATGAATTTCGACACCACTACCATCAAATACGGAGCGAAAAGTTTAACCACAAGAATCAAGACTATATGAGCTACCACTAAACAACTCACAGTCTGAAAATTACCATTAATAAAAACCCTGAACGTTTACTTTTCGTTTTAAACATCGTTTTAAGGTGTAAACGTGTCATTTAGAAATGCGCGTTCCCGTGACAAGGGGGGCATTTCATGATGGGGGTGCATCATTTGACACAACACCGGCACCAGTGGACCAACCTGCACTATATGTGATTTTTTCATGAGCCCACAAGATGGTGCCATTTTATTTAAAGTGCGAGAACAAGAAAAACAATTTAGCAGGTAAGTATCTACAGATAATATGTTTGAAGAACATATTGAACTGTTAATTAAATACTCACATATTACAAAATGTAAAACAGCAAATTGGCATTACAATATTATCCTTAAGAGCAGTCGTGCTTTTAGAAAGAGTTACTCATCTTAAAGCAGTTAATAGATTGATGCTCTACCTGAACTGTATTGTTTGATTTAAAGCATAAGATGCTGCAGATTAAGCTATGGGTCTATTTAATATTTTTATGGAGTTTAGTATTTTTGTATAGTGTTAGACAAAATGGAGAGGCATTGGTTGTGTCATGCCCCTGAAACTCATGGATGTTTAGCAATGACTAACTAACTACTGTATCTTGTACACAGGTGGTACAGAAAATATTGAAGCTTATATTTTACTTGAACTATTTTGATTTAGTTTTAAAGTGTAATAATTTCTCATTTGTATTTGGGCTATCAACATCCCACAGTTGAAGAGAAAATAAATAAGATGAATTTACAGTTTATGCATTAGTTGAACTACGATAAATACCCAATAACTTGACAAACATTCTCTTGTTTCTTTGGCAAAGATAAACCAAAGAGGTGTTTTTAATTTGACTAAGGCATCTTGGGTGTTGTATGAACTTTTGACTGTTGTGATATGTGATGATGACTGCACAAGTATTAATTTGTATATAAAGTGATGTGTCGTAAGGGTGTATTGTCAGTAGAGGGCAGTGTAAAACCAAAAAAGCCTTGCATGTTGTTCAACACACACAACCTTGTACTGCTATACTGGGGACCCCAGTTGAAATCAGGCCTTCCTAGCCCCTTGCCCTAACCTTTACAACGAAATGCCTGGCCCCGGCCTGCAACCTTTCTTTTAACATAACATACGTTTTGTTATGAACCTTAAAAGCAAGTTTAAACCCCCCAAATAGTCATTTGAATTGAAAGTACAAATACACAAAAATGGAAATGACATTATGGTGTACACTGTCCTATCTCTTTTTCTAAATGACATGGTCATCTAAACTCAAAGTAACTGGTGATTAAACTAAATAACTGTATTCAAACAGAAATCTTAAAGTTCATTAAAGCGGGGTTTAACAAGTGGATAAAACACATAACAAACAAAGATAAAGGCCAATTTACATCTTGTTTTCTAAAAGGTTCCCCCACCATTTTGGTTTTGGCAGATGCTCTATAATTGAATAATCTCTTCTTATTGCACCACATTTGGATGGAACCCTGGTTAATGTCAAGACAAAGTCAATATTAACAGTGCAGTGCACCTTAAAATAATCCCATTTTCTTCCACCTTTCCTTGTGTATATCCTTTCAGTTTCAACGTCTGTGGCAGGACATGAAATTATACATAATTGCTGTTGATTATTGGACGTGATGATGGCACCTTTTAAACCCAAACCGTGCACGGCTCTACAATTGTCCTACATTGACAACATTTGGAAAAACACAAAGCAAAGATCTGCCGGAGCCCTTTGATAGTGTCAACAGATGGTGGAAAGACTCACTGTCTTTTATACATTGTCAATTGAATTAAAGTAGAATGTACAGAATATAATTGTATCTGGTCTCTTCTGTTACAACAATATTCGTTTTCTATAAATGTATCTTAATGCTAATGCACCCATTTTCAGTTCGTCTGATCTCTCCCATGAAAGCCGTAGTGTGCCAACATTACAGACGTTCTGAGTGGGTAATTATCGTGAATGACAGAGAGGAATTACAAAGGGAATATTTAAATAAAAAGAAAAACTCTCATTAAGAGGGACATAATTCAAACAAAAGTACAAATGTATGTATTTGTTGCAGTAATGATTCCCCTTTCCCAGCTGCAGTGTGATGCTCTAAGCAAATCAAGCACACTCAGTTACGCAGGGCAATGGTGCAGGTTGATTTTGACCATGGTAAGGGATGAAATAGGGAGAAATGACTAATATGATGCATTAAAAAATATAAAAATAAGTAACTACTAAGCACATAATTGTAGAATATTGCACCTACAGGACAACAAGAGGTCCTCCACGACTGTTTTTGCAAAGAGACAACAGTGTATAAACCTTACAAAAATACCTAACTCAAGAATGACATTCAGGCTACACGCTGTTAAGAATATGTCAATAAATCCATCTTTTAAGACAGTAATCATCCCCAAATGCCGTCTGCTGTGGATATTGGTTTCTTTCTCTGTCTGTCCAGAATGGCCCAGAGACAGTGAGCTTTGAATCACTGGTTACTGTAATGAACACTGTTGATTCAGGGTCATGCTGACTAATCTTAAAGCTCAAAACAATTATAGGTATTCTTCACTACATTAGGGCTGTTTGCGCTCAATTTGCTTGCATGGAATACATTGTTATAGATTTCATTTTAGAATATTGAACACAACATCTTGATTGACCCCTTGATAAAGATCGTGGTGAAAAGTGTTAAATAAGTTGTTGAGTATTTTTTCAGCTTCTTAAGAAAACGTATACTGAACAGATTGTGTCGCTGCATGTATTCTACAAATCTAATGATTGTTTAAGTACAATAGAATAAGTACTATGTAATTCAGTATCACAGTAATTTGGCTAAAAGTGTTGGAAAAGTTATTCGGTTATACCACTTTAAAAAGAAAAAGGAAAACATTAAGGAAAATTAAAAACATTCTACTAACATTTCCGATTTGATTCTATTTGAGAATCAAGCTTACCATATTAGCCAACATGATAGTATGGTTATGAAATGCAAAAATGACAGGTCATGTTGCCGTATTAGCCTCACAATTACAAGAATGCAGTTTTAAATGTGTGGTTGAGCTTCTGTCAAACCTTCTGTCCACCATTGCAGTGTGAGATGGATTAGGATACACAAAATGTGATTTAACACAAAATAATATAAAGGTAAAAGAGAGAGTGACATTTAATAATAATATAACAACTTCATTCTTTATACTTTATTTGACAGTACAAAACAAAGTCATACAGTCAGAAACAACACAAGGCACAGTACAGCCGCACAAGCATACCATTTGGGACATAATTAACCCTTCAGTGTGTTACATGATGTACTACACGGTGACAAGTAGTTTATGACGAGTTGGACTTTAAATGATTGAACAGAAAAGAAAGGTATGAAAAATAAAGTTCGTATTGATTTTTCAAGTAATCATCAAAATCCTTAAGGTTAAAATGTCTAACTCCACATTCACATATTATTAATCCATATATATAATCTTATTGGTCTTGTTATTCAATATCATACAGTACAATACGATACAAGCCCCTCTACATTACATTTACTCACATAGATATATAACTTTATTACTTCATACATTACATTACACACTATTTATCTGCAGTTCAATAAAAAGAAGCTTGTCAAAACAGTCTTGAAACACTTAATACGATTCTGTAAACCATACAATTAAAGCTTTATGCTTTCTGAAAATGTGATGGTTATAGCTTTAAATCACCACCTGGAACTTTTGGGGGATAAAATCACACAACATATTTCAAATAAATTAAAATTAAATCTGCTTTGACACTAATTATGTATAATTGGGAAAATAGATTGAACTGTTGTGATAAAAGTAACAATCAAGCGGTCAACTGATTAAAATAAAATAAATTATTTCAGTCTTTGGTTGATTAAATTAGCAATGTGGCTGATACATTTTTTAAGCTGTTTAAAGTTGTTTATTTATTTATTCACCTAGAGATTTAATGATATGCTACAACAAACCAACACTTGACAAAACCAATTCCTCTATTGGTAGAATTGTGTTGGTCCATCTAAAGAATGAATACTGTAAGAGGAGGTGACCTTTTCCCCAAAAAATCAATGCTATTGGTTTTTAAATGATGAGTCTTCAGTGAGAAGGCTCAGGTATTGTTTTATCAGACATAGTTTTAGTTTATTCATTTGTTATTAATAGCATTTGCTGTAGCAACTTTTCCTTCACGTACATTATTTTTGATGTAAACAAATGTAGGTGTCTTTTTTCAGAGTCTACAGGAATCACATGTATTATAACAGTCTTCAATAAGAGCAAGTACATAAATAAAGATAATAAACAATACATTGACATGGACTGGGATTAAGTGAAAACAGAGGAAGGTATAACATGTCTGATCTAAAAGAAATACGTATAATTTGCGTATTGGTCAGATTCTGAATCAATGAATCAACATTAAACAAATTGAAGAATAAATAAAAAATGTGAAAATAACCGTAACAAACTATTTCAAATGTGCGTAACTCAACATTTTCATTCTAATACCATGAATGGCATTTTTTAATATTTTTAATGTTCATCTTGCCTCAGACAAATACAATTCAAAATCCATTCAGGAAGAGTTTTGTATTTATGGAGGAAGCAATCTGAACACTGCATTACCTGTTTGACTGAATCCCATTCACCAAGAATGGTGGTGAGGTTTAATGCACAGCTTCACATATCCAATGTTTAAATTAAAGCACACTACAAAGTGTATGGGTTTTCTGTCGGCACTTTTAAACTGCTCCCACCCCCACCATTGTGATCAATTTCAATGGCAATTTCTTTATTCTTCTCAGTTCTTCAGACCGTTGCTGTGCTCGCATCCATCTACCCAATGTCTACTCTCTCATTCTTTCACTCTCTTCATCTTTCTCTCCTTTTCTCTCCTCCTCTACTTTTCAGACCACCAACCAGTGTTTCAGCTGTGGGAAAAATTGAATAGGCCCATGAAATAAACAGTATCATTTCGGAAATGGTTATATGCCTGAGAAAAAGTTGTCAGGTATTAAACTTTTCGGAATATGTTTTACTTTGCAAATCCATGAAAGCCTTTACCATGAAAAGCCTTTACAGAGATCAGTTTCGAATGGCATGTAAAGAACGCACAACTAATAAATGTGTGCAAAGGTTTAGACAACGGTAGGCAACTAAATGTTAGCCTCTTCCCAAAGTCGTTCATTACACCCACTTATTACATGGCTTAGTTGAATAATCGATACATATTGGTTCATTTCGAACATTGTAGGACTGCTCTTTTTCGCTAGCAGACCGCTGCTAAGGATAACAGACTATTAGTAATGAGGATGCTCTGATCAAGGGCTTAAGTGCAGCTTCAGTCAGCAGAAAAACATTCGTTTTCCTCCGTCTGACAACATCGGGGAATACTTTTTAATCTTTCTTTTTAATGAAACACATTAGAGTCACCAAGCAATTCTTCTGTGCATAACGCTTTTTCAACTTTCTTTTCAAACATTTGTATGAAAAATACAGACCTCGAAATAGGCAAATATGAATATATATCCTGCAGACATGTGAGGATCCACTCAGCAATAATAATAAACCATTTTTAAGATAAAAAATTAAAAAAAGAAATTAATTCAGCACTTACTGTGAACTGCCGAACTTCCCCGTTGTCTACCAAGTGATGCTCTGTCTCTGGGGTGATGGCATAAGCCAGTCTCTGTTTCAGGAGAAAAAGGATTATTACAAAAAATACTAAAATAAAATATTTTAAAGGGAATACTTTTTAATGAAAGAATAACAATACTACTATTAGAATAGCGCATTTCCTCTAGTTATGACCCAAAAGCTTAGACTTACATTGCAGAACTTTCCAGGCACTATGCAGAGTTTGTAGATGGCGTAGAGAGGCACCATGGACATTGAGGAAATGGCAAGACACCACCCCACCATGTTCGCCCATGGAGGAAATGTGTAGGTACCGTAACTTGGAGGGTTGAATGTGGCAAAGCTAATCACCACCATAAACTAAGGAAGAAAATCATTTTAACACAGAAGACCCGAGGAACCATTAGCTCAAAAAGATTCACTGTTCATTTCAAGTCTTCTCAAAAACAACCAATTCAAGTGGTCCGATATAAAAGAGAGGTTTCTGTTACAAGGAATGGGTAGTATAGTTTTGTTTTAACTGTGAATCACTTTGTGAAAACATTGAAATACATTGCAAGAATACTAGCATAACCTGAAACATATGGACCTGACTGATACATATATTGGTCAGGTAATAATTCACGGTCCCAATATTTTCATCCTATCTCTTTTCAACTTGTCTTCTAGTTTGGCGAAAATCGCAACAAGTGAACTTACATTTATATTGTTCTAAGTTCATTCTTAATCAATTATTTCCTTATAAAACTAGTATGTGCACAGACTTACCAGGAGGAAGCAGGGGCTGACAAACTTCCAGCACAGTCTCCAGTACAGGCCTGGTCGATGGCCAATCATCTCCTCAATGTCATCACTGAATCTGTCCACTCCTGAAACACATACAAATGATGGATATTACTTCCAAGACATGGTTGATTGCAGCCTTGGATAAAACTGAATAATGGATATTAATAATATAATCATGGTAGTAAGTGCTTTTGTATACTGTATGTTCCCTATGCATTTTTTAATCAAGACCATCAAGACAAGATTAATGACACCATAGGATAAAAACATATAATTCACAATTTAAGCATTTGCCGTGTCTAAATTCATCCTCCAGAGTCAGTTGTGAAAAGCTAATGCACCACTTTTTGCCTCTCTTAAACCTGACTGTATATTTATCTTATTGTCTTACTGCGGGGGATTATATCCAGACTGACGAGCAGGTATTGAGCAAAGTTAAATGTACGCATGTAGTGGAAAGCAAACTGAAAGACCACAGTGGCAACGGGTCAAGGGTTGCTGTCAAAAGTTAAAAGGATGGGGGGAAAGGCCCACTGAAGCCTTAGGCTTGATTTATCTGGTATGCCAAGGTCGGGACCCACCAGAGGAGGGCAATATGCTGACGCCACCGCCTGGGGCCTGGTTAATATTTAGACCTTTATGGATCCTTCTACTCTAGGCTCTGTAGACATGGGATAAGAAACTCTAATGGGAAGTTCAGGTTAATTTGTCCCCTAGCCTTTCGTTTTCTTCTATGTTTTGTTTTGGAGTTTCAAAATGTGAGTTAGTTTCCACACTATGAAAGGGTTTTCTTGTTTTCAGATGTTGTTGTAGGTAAAAATATATGCAAACCTAACTACTGATGAAGCAGTTGGTCTTTACCTATCAATTACCTCCACCAAGGAGGTTATGTTTTTGGTTTGTTTTTCTTTCACCAGGATTACTACTAGTGCGGTTTTCATGCACTTGATTTCAGAGCAGATCCAATCAGGCAAGCTACACACAATACAGTAGTTTCACTTTTCACTTGTTTTTTGTTGTTGGGATAAGGCATTTGGCCATGGCAAAAGTCTGTGTTCTATGAGTGTCCTTACAATTTGAACATAAAACACGGAAGAGCAAAGTGCCTAAGTAAGCAGAACAACCCAAACGGTTAACGGTTAAATCAGAAAATGTCACTAATCAGCACACAAGTGGGTAGAATTCTGAAGCCCTAAGATGTAGTATACAGAGGTTTACTCAGAACTACAAGATTTCTTCCATGTTGTGCTCATGAGGCACAAGTGCTTGAAAGGTATGTGAATAATCACACTGGAGACATGTCATGAACTCCAGAAAAATCTCTTATCACAAGAAGAGATAAACAGTGATTTATATATGTAGATAGATAGATTGTGTGTGTTTTAGAATGACACATTTGAAAATAAATTGTTGAGGTGATGGCAAATGTGTATAAAAGCAAGTGTCAATAGAATGTAGACATCTGGAGAGAAATTGACTTTGAGGTCACCCCCACTTGCTACCACAACAATCTACAACCTAGTAATTAGACAGCTGATTCCTGTCCATGACAAATGGGAATTGCCTGTTCCGCAGCTGCAATGTTCTTTATGTGAAGGCTCACTTCTGCTCAGTGAACATGGAGGTAACACTGGCAGTGTTCAAAACGCAGGCCATGCAACCTCTCTGAGCTCTTACGATTGCAAAAATAACAGTATATCAGTGTACTTTGACACATGCTCTAAGATTGAAGAGGCCAAAACCATTAATAGGAACAGACTTTCTGGCTGCAGTGTCCGTATGTCTAATAGAACTATATTGCATTGTGGCACAGCACACGTACACCAAGAGACCTCTCATCAAACCTTTAATATAGCATCAGCTTTGCTGGCCATGAAAATAATGAATCAATGGGTCCTTCTCCTTTTCTCCTGTCCATCTATCTCACCGTAAAACCATGCGATGCCAATGGCTTCAATAAGCACTCCAAAGAGAATCGATGTTCCTGCTGCAAAGTGGTCCAGCAGGGTGAACACATACATCCCACCCTGGAGAGAAAGGAACAAATAATTAAATGATACAAGCTTGATCATATTGTTAAAGTAAGAACAAACAGGAAATAAAACTCAATTCAGAAAATTCACTTTAATTAATTGTATGATATTTTGATTAGTAAACGCCGATTTTTTAAATCATAAAATCTATGTATTAACTCGTATGACTGCCCGGTAAAATGCTTACATTTGTAACACAGAAGAGGGATATGAGGAATGTGGAAACAACAATGAAGAGGGTGAACAGCTCTCTGTGCTTGTGGAGGCATTTAAACTCATCCATCAGCCCCGTGATCACCGACTCCATACCACCCATCTACAACAGAAGACACACAAGTTAGAACAAAACAAAATCAGCTAAATTGAGCTGCTAATGTCTGGAAAGTGTGCTGGGATTTCACTCACTATCATCATCCCACACTGTCAGACACACTTTATGTACAGAAGCACAAATAGGGAAAATGCACTTGCCACCTAGCTGAATTACCAAGTGTTGGGGTGTGTGTGTGTGTGTGTGTGTGTGTGTGTGTGTGTGTACTCACTGCACTGTCGATGCCCAGGGATAACAGCATGATGAAGAAGATGACCGCCCACACTGATGATCCAGGTAGTGTTGCAATGGCTTCTGGGTAAATTACAAAAACCAAACCAGCACCTGGGAAACGACACATTCAAGCAAGAAAAGTAGCAAACAGTACAAAACACACGCAGACAAAAGAAAAAATGTACTGCCTCCACACGATATTATTGAATACACTTCACTTCAAAACGAACACAGCCAAATAATACCATACCGTCTCTGGCAACTTTGTCCAGGGCTACATTGTGCTTTTGGGACAGGTACCCAAGGAAGGAGAAGACCACAAATCCGGAGAAGAAACTAGTTAGAGAGTTGATGGAACTGGTGATGATGGCGTCTCTGTAAAAAATGTAATTAAAAGACAGTCATGGCCAACAGTCCATAATAAGAATATAGAAAAATGAACCATATATCAATCAGTCATCATTCAGTATGCAATGAAAATGAACACAAGTCACCAGTCAGTCAATTATCTAGTCAGGAGTGTGCTAAGGCCAGCTTTCTTTGGATAAAAAAAAGAAAATTCAAGCTTGCTGTATTGATTTAATGGATTGGTCAGGTAGTCAATAGTTGCCTATTACTGCATGAGACAGATTGGCAAGTTGCCTACCTACCCTTTTCTAGGAGTTACACTTCCGTCAATTTGCAAAAATGCACATTATACATTAGTTATTTGTAAGGACTTGGTGTGTGAAAGTTAAATAAGGAGACAAAGTGTACACACGTGCAGTAACCTAGTCTTAAAGAAAAAAAGCTAATTCTCATTTATTTTCAGAATGAGACATATTTGGCATTTTGTCTTCATTTCCTTTCAGTGATTTGGAGTTATGTTCATGGTGGAATCCTGAAGGTGGATAGTGTCATATGTCAGTTATCAGAAACATAAAGAAGGCAAAACAAATAAACACAACACAAAAGATAAAAGCCTCCTGTGGGATGCTGATGATTTTCAAAGAGTGCGACAGTTTTGATTGGTGTTACGGCTGCCTGTTGCACAGCATGGTGTCAAAGACATCGCGGGTTTCAAGGAGCTTCAAAGGTTATTGTAATTCACCTGCTTATGTTGCGTGTGTGTTTGTGTGTAATTCCCTGTCCTCTCTCTGTTTCTCTGAATCCCCTCTTTCCTCGCCTTGTGTGTCTTTTTACCTGTAACAGTTGTTGCTGAATTTGTTGTAGCTGGAAAAGGCAATTAGCACACCAAACCCCACTCCCAGAGAAAAACAGATCTGTGTCGCTGCGTCGATCCAGACCTGGGGAGCGACAGAACAAGCACACTTGTGTGAAGCGGCGAACAAAAGGCACAGGAGAGGAAAAAAGCCATTATTAGGGATAATTGCAGGAAACTCATTCAACGGCCGTAGATGAAAGACGCTAGTGAATACAGGGGGTAATTTTGCAAATTACTGCTCCATGAATCTATCTAATCTAATTCTCCAATTGCTGCCATGCATCTCTCTGTCTCCTTTCTTGCTTTCTCTCTCATTCTCCATAACCGAGTCCTTCAGTCCTGCATGCTTACTTGTTGAGCTCTTTAGTGCTGTGATAACGGCTTTCACAGATAAGGAACATATGAGAAACAGTTTACACAAATAGTGTTCTCACTTTTTTTTTAAGCCTAAAAGGAAAAGCCTCTCTTTTGGTAGCCCACTTATCCCTGCAAACTAACCTTTGATTTGTTATTTCTCAGATTTTATGTTTTAACTCAACAGTTGGAAATTCCGTTTGCAGGAATAGTTCCCTACTCAGGCATTTTTCATTGAAGCACGTTGATCAAAATGAATGATTAAATATCTTCTCCACATTTCTCTGCTCCTATCTTAATTTGTTTTGTTCTGTGTGAACTGTTGCAGTTTGCCTTATATAAGATATTTTCTTTAGAGCATGTACAAGTGAAACACAGCACAATCAACATTGGAAATAACATCAATATTGCCTTCAACACTCCTTAGCAGTAACAGTTTGTTGCAAAGCCCTTGACATGGATTGTTATCTTCATACAATAAATATAGTTTGCAGTCCTAACACATTTCAGTGAAATATTGAAGTAATAAATAAAATCTTGCTCTACCCCCTTCCTGTTGAAACTCACCTGGGCATCACACAGTTTCAAGAAGTCCACGGAGAGGTAGGCCTTAATGCCATCGATGGCTCCAGGCAGAGTGACTCCGCGGATCAGCAGCACAGTCAAGACCACATAGGGCATCGTGGCTGTGATCCACACAACCTGAAAGGGTCGTACAAGGTACACACACACACAGATACACACACATTTGAACAGCAGATTTGCACAGAGATATAAGGACACACAAACACATAGTCAGATTCAAACATGTGCATGCATTCAATATGGAAAATAAGCCTTTTTTAAAAATATTTTCTAATTGTTTCTAGCGTAAAGTGAGTCACTGAGAGGAATCAGCGTAGTTTTGTGTTTTTCACATAAAAGAAAATTGGAAAGTGTTTCATTACCCACCTTTCCAGAAGTTTTGACGCCCTTCCAGAGACTGAAGTAGAGCAGAACAATCACTACACCTAGACAGGAAGTCAACTGCCAGCGTGGACGGCCCAGATTATCAATACCATTACTGTCCTGGATGTGGAGCACCCCTCGTCTGAGGAAAGAGAATATGTTGGTAAGAACCACTCTCCAGTCAAAACTCTGCCGGCTTTTGTTTAATAAATCATTGAAATATTTTATAATTTCAATTCACAACCTTTAACCAATTCTTGTTCTAAGACCTACTGCGCTGGTAGAAGCCCTTGCCAGGAGGATAAATGGCCTTTAGCGGTCGTTATCAGCAGGATAGATTTGAGCTGGTATGGCTCTGTTGAGCATTATTATTCACAACATGAATTGAGCTATACATTTGGATGTGAATCTGGTAAATCTGATATTCTGCATTTAATTGGCTCAACAATCAATGCCTGGCATTGTTGAAAGAGAGATCTACAGCCTAAAGCAGAAAGATGCCAGGTGTTCGCACATCTGTTGCTACTAAATTTGTCATTTTCATTAAGTTATGATCATAATAGCCTGCCAAGGCAAGAAAACTCCACCTGCATTTAAAGCTAACATATGTCAAAGTATACTTTCAAACTGCATTCTGTAAAGTTGGATTACACGAGTCACCTGAAGGACGAAACATCTTTGATTCAAATCATTTCAGAGACTGTCTTACAGACAAAGAACGAAAAAGATCAGCCGATGCTCGACCAATGTGGTCAAATTGTCTGCAGGTGGTTCTATGTATATAGCGCACAGCAATTTCAACTAGCATGGATCAAATATCTCAACTGTCACAACAGAACAACCCCCAACTCTTTGGAAAAGGAGACACCTGGTCAGCTTCACAGTGTGGGAGGCTGCATACTGTAAGCTAAATGCAGCCAAACTCTGCATCCGTTTTCAGGAAATCATACCCATAGAAAATGATGTTTTTCTTGAAGTACTTATAAGAAGATTTGCCAACAACTATTAAAGCAATTATTAATACCCATGTTATTTAATTTCCTTAAATTATAACCTACTATAGGAAACAAACATTAAGTAAATCCAACTTACTCAAAGTATTCCTGAGCAGGGGTGGACTTGTAAATGTCGCTGACTGAGCTGTTGTCAGCCCAGTCAGAGCAGTTTGGACTGTTCCAACTGTTGTTGCAGTGGACCCACGGCAGCTCGCTGGTGAACGAGGAGAAGAGATAGAAGAGCGCCCAGGAGATGATGACATTATAGTAGAAACCAACGTACAGGGAAATGAGGATCACCGTGAAGCCTACACCTGTTGGAGAAAGAAATTAAAAGGCATATGTATTAAAAAGAGCTACAAATAGGTGAGGATTTGTTATGCTAACTGCCCACATAAGAACATGAGATTTTAAAAGGGGCACCTCACTGTAATCTCTTACATCCCACATGCACATCACTGCGTCAGTCCTTAAAGAGTGGTTTTTGGCTTATAACCCCTCACAAAAAAAGCAACCGCCAGTTTACTTCCGACCAGTGATCCAGTAGCATGTCACTCTGCATTTCTCTCCAGCTGATTTTAACAGTATTACACGTATGCCTGGTTATTGTTGTCTAACTTTATATAAATGTATGTGTGTGGTGGCATTCTAGTCACTTTGCATTCTGAGCGCTACTGCTTGTTACAACTGTATTCTCTTCGCCGCACTCGCCATCAACTATTATTGCTCAGATGAATCTCGCCCCAGCCTCCAATGTAAGCCTGACGTATTGGCTTCTTGGTTCTTGACCAGCAGTTTTTTGGTGCCAGATGCAAACCGGTTTTAGGGTCTGAGAGCCGGCCCTGCTGCGGAACCTTTTCGCAATCGGGCACTATGTCCGAACTGGCCCCGGAACCGGTTTGATGGGAAAGGGGTACTTGAGACCCTTTGTGGTTGACATAAATTGGTAGATAGGGGTTATTCTTCTGATGCATTGGATTCGTTTAGGAATTGCAGTACTGATGGTTGTTGAATTGTTTTCTAGGGAATGCTTGCTGGAGTTTGTCTTGCTGAAGGAGCCCTGTTCCAAAAGTGCTGATTCTGTATCTGTAGATTTAAACACACATGAGCTGCTGCTGGCCACGCCCCCTATGGAAGTGTTTGGTTAAAAAAAAAACACAATGGTGCTCTAGGAGGAGATTCAGGTGATAAGGTGGGCGGGCGTAACCTTGGTTGGTTAGTGGCTAATGGTTGTCCAACCCAAAAGACAGTTGTGACTTCACAATGTGGCCAAATCTGATCAGCTCATTTTCTGACAACTCCATTCCTGAAACTTTCAGAATCTATTCACACACTGGGGCAACATTTTTATTTATAAAATACATGAAAAAGTGGATTTAGCATAATGGGTGACCTTTAAGCATAATTTCAGGCATTGCTGTCCTGAACCGTGACTTTATGCGAGAAAGATTTCAGCACTGAATTGCATACCAGAAAGCACAATGTCACGTTCAGTATGAGCCAACAAAACATGCCTGCGGTCGTGAAGAAAGACCCTCAACTAAAGGTTTCCTCTTCAAGCCATTATCAACACATCTACCCTTCAATACATCTGAAAGAATGTCCACTCTTCTAAAGAAGGATTTAATTGTTAACCTTTGCTAACAGCCATGACCACAAGTGTGCCTTATTGATTCCTTTTGTAATGTGGATGTGATATTTGTCAAGGCAGCGATGCCTCTTATTAGCGCCACATGCGGCCGTGCCATCTCTCCGTCTGCCTTTCATGCTCATTTTCTTCAAATGCATTGATCCTGAGAGGAAACCAGCTTGTTGATCAGAGTAATGACTTTCAATATGGGCATGCGTGTGTGTGTGTGTATGTGTGCGTGTATCTTTATAATTACTGTTATCCCCTGCTGAGAGACAGTGAAAGAGTGAAGCGTGTGATTAGAACGTCAACCTACACAGTGTGGTCTGCGGCAGAAGGCACATGCTCACATGCTCAGAAACACTCTACAGTGGGGCACACACAGTACATGTTAAGTACTTTTTTAGCTAATTCCTATATATATATATTTAAAAACGGTAGACTTTGTATATATTTTAATATAAAATTATTTCCTTTTCTCTCAAGTTAGGAATCATTTAAGTACAGTAGGTCTTTGGTCACTGCTAGGTCACACCAGACACATAGTAACAGCTGTGGCGCCCCTTTATCTTCAGGTGGCACTTCTGTTTAGTGAAGATTTTCTTACTACAGGCACATGTGTTTTTGAAAAGCTCAAGAATCCAGTTAATATGCAGATGCAGGTGGAGTTTTGGCAGAACTGTTGTTGGTATACAGCGTGTACACTTCTCTGTGTACTATTCGCAATGTCATTTCTGCAGCTGAATACTTTGAATAAAGCTTCAGTTTGTCAGACATCAGATCGCTCTCCAGCTTCCTTGTCTTCCAGTCAATGCTCCAGAAAAGACATCCCATCACAGTAGACACTGTTTGACAGCATCGTCCTGTGCAGCAACAGATGGTCAGCTGGTTTTAATGGTATTTGACGTCGTAATGCTGTTGCATCTTTGGGGTGATTGTAAGGTGTAAAATGTTGATTAAGGTCAAACTCTGCAAACAGTACAGAGAGAGGGAATATAAAGTTGAACCAAGAAAGTATTTTCTTTTTACCAATGACTTTGCTTAGAAACGTGACATTTCTTCTCCATTAGTGCTTGTTTGGATGGCATTGCTCCTGAACGGCTCTTTTGCTTATTGATGTGTTAAAAAAGTACTCCTGAGAGTCTTATTTGACAGAAGGATTTGGACAATCAGGGTAAGAGCCCACTTTTCATTTGCTTTCCATCTGAGTGCCAGCACAACCTGATGTTCTGGGGAGGATAAACAATGCCTGTCGCCCCACTCAAGGAGAGACAAGCAGACAAAAGAGACTGGCATGTGGACGGACAGGCATGTGGGCAGACAAGCAGACAGAAAACACATGTAGATCTTAAAGGTCTATTATCAAACAGACAGGCATGCGCAAACCACGACAGGCGGATTCAAAATACACGTGAAAGCATTCCTGGGACATCATGTGCATCATCTGAGTACGTGTCATTCTTACCTTTAAATATGGGACAGATCTTCCAGACGCCTGCTGCCCCCTCTCTGTTATACTGTCCCAGAGCCAGCTCCATGTAGAAGAGAGGCATGCCAGCTATCAACATGAAGAACATGTATGGCACCAGGAACGCACCTGCACACACAGAGACAGGTCAACAACGTAATGTCTACATATAAAATAAACAATTTCCAAGTTTCATGTTAAACCTTTGTAATTTGATAGAACTATCGTTGATATATATAAAATACCAACAATGATTAGATTACATCAGTGATTCTCAAATGGGGGTACGCGGACCCCTAGGGGTACGTTGGGGTACTGCAGGGGGTACGTGAGATAAACAAAACCAAATGGTTCGAGGAAAATATTCCTAGAACCACTAAGGGGGTCCTCATATAAACATGTCAAATTTGTGTATTGTATTTTATAGTTTTTCATAATATATCATTTTGTTCACTGGTTTGTTAAACATAGATTACTTCAATTGAAAAACTCCTTGGAAAAATTTGTTTAAAAAAAATGTCGTTTTTTTTTTTTTTTTTCATGCATAAAGATGAAAATATCCTTAGTTTGTTGTAATTCATGCACGAAGGAGTTAATAAATCACACACTGATGGAACATCACTATATTGTAATTATTTATATAGGCTTTTTCTATCAAAGATGTTCGGGGTCGGTCAGGGGGTACTTGGCTGAGAAAATGTTTCAAAGGGGGTACATTACTGAAAAAAAGTTTTAGAAGCACTGGATTACATAATACCGTTACTGTCACAGAGTAGGGATTATGGTGATTATCAACTATATTAAAACATATATAAAGTTTGGCGCACCTTGGTAATGGAGTTATAACGCCAGAATGTCCCTGGTTTGATTCTAACCGGGATGCTTTGTCATTCCCCCTACAATCTTCTTATCGTCAGATTTCAATAAACATAAACAGCTCCAAATGATAATAAAAAATGGTTAATTTCCTCAGATTAAACTGTTAAATGTTGCCAGATTACAGATATGACAACATGCTGGATTTGAGGGACATATGGTGAGCCTTGCCTATGGCCACAGCATCATTTCAAGCTCATAATTAGAGCTCTATGTTAAACAGCTATAATTAGTGCTAGTGATTGTTAGAGCTAATCTATTCTGAGCAGCTGTGGTGGTTTTCCCCCTATTTTGATCTCTGAAAAAGGGTGGAAAAACAGATCTCAAACAGAACACACAAGCACATAATCTTTGCTTGCACATGGATTTGCAAGTAGGATCAAATATACAGCATGCGTGATTAAATTCCACCTTCATTTCACCTTCTTCTATTCTTTTTTCTGTACTCCCTGTCTTTTCTAATAACACAAACACCATCAACGCTTCAATTTCCTCCTTCACTACCCCCCCCAGCCTTTTCCTCCATCTCACCTCCTCCATTCTTATAGCAGAGGTAGGGGAATCTCCAGACGTTGGCGAGGTCCACGGCAAATCCGATCACAGACAGGAGGAAGTCGATTTTCTTCCCCCAGGTCTCCCTCTCCTCCCCACTGGGGTTGGTCTGAGGATGAGTCGGAGCCACTAAGGTGGAAGAGGTGAACTGAACCCCATTTTGCTCCTTCACCAGAATCAGCTCCACCTGAAGAGCCATGGAGTTAATAATCATCAGATGAAGACATACTCATTTAATGTCACTTAAGTCTCACCCTCACTTTATTATTCTCTCACTTCGCCCACATGACAGACAGTAATCACTTTCACATCGTCAATTCTTCTCAACAGTTCATTAATTCCATTTTGGCTCAAGAAAATGTATCTCCTTACGTTATGAGTTTTTATCCCAACACTGTTTTTAGGACTGCAGTCAGACAGACTAAATAAGAGAGGAATGCACTTCATTAAGAAGCTTGCCCCATACTGTGTTTCAATTAGGTTTTCTTAATCAGACTGAAATGCATGCCATTAATCCACTAATATATGCGTGAGGTCCGTACAAACCTCTTTGGGGCCCATGGTGTTTGAGGCGGGCTTTTCTGGGGCCACAACCGAAGACATCAGGCCGACAGAGCTGGTGGTCACTGAGGAGGAAGGAAGGTAGCTGTGACTGAAGAAACAGAAAAAGGTGGAACTTTAATATTCCCTATATAAATGAATATATCATAGTGTATATCAAGATAACAATAAGTGAGACATTCAGCATACAAAAAATGTAAAAATGTGATTGTTCTTCCAAAATGTAAAAATGTTAAATAGTCATTCATTTTTATGATTTCAAGTCATTACATAAAATACAGAAAGATCAAGAGGAGAGTGGAGAAAGCACAGAGAGTGGAATCCCCCTAAGGGGAGCAGGAGGGGAAGGGGAGCGTCTCCAGCAGGCCATTACAGCAGGCTCATTTTATTTCACACTTGTTGATCGCCATTTTGATCACAGTTTCGCACAATTGGCCCAGTGTCCACTAACCCCATCAAACCACGACATGCTGTCCACCAGATCCTGTCCAGATTTCCTTTCAGTACTTTTCACTAATAGGATCTTTAGGAGAAAAAGGACCAGTTGAAGGCCCTGTTTATATTTTAAATATTAGAAAGTGATTAGAAAAAAATACTTAAAATGTCTACAATATAAAAAGTGCCTTTTTTTGCTTTTTCATTTGAAAAAAAAAGTATACTTGTGCTCAAAATGTGGTCAATTAAATAATTAATTGTCTACATTTTTTTCACAGAAAAACAGCAGACTCTGAAAACTGATAACAGATAACATCTGGCCAGGGACTACAGATGAAAAATAGCCTCTTGGCTAACTCTGGCACATTTACAGAAATGTTCATTAATGTGCACTGTCCCTGTTAAATAAATGAATAAATAAATAAAATAAAAAGTTGTAGAAAAATATAAGATTTGTAAAGATAACAATAATATTATGCTTCAAAAAAACGATTTTCAAGGATGCAAAAAAACACCTACCTTTGAAATTTGACAGGTAAACACTCCTCCGTACGTCAGTTTGGTCCGTTTAATTCCAGACGTGCTGATGTTCCTCTGTGTGCTGCAAACTGATGCTGACCACATTTAAGTGGACCGCCCTTGATGAGTTAGACTTGGACCAAGATTAAGGCAAAAATGTTTTGAAGAAATAAAGAGAGTAAGAGAGTCACAGTAAGACAAGAGATGAGGATAAAGCCCTCCCACCCTCTGTGGATCCAGTGACAGACACACAGAATCCAGAGTACCCTGTGGTCTGGTATGGAGATCTGTCTGCGATACCACTCTTGTATGAGAATCAATCAAACACCCCCCCCCGCCCCCCCCCATGACCGTCACTCTCCTCCCTCCCTCCCTCCTTCGTCTGTTCCTCCTCCTCTCTCTCCAATCATGGCATTTCTTTTTACCTGATTTAGGTATTTTGCTGGATTACTTTTCTTTGTGTGAATCTATAGAGGGGAAAATAAAAACAAGAATTAAAATACATTATTTCACAAGATAAAGACATTCTTTGGATGTGTGATATTTTTGTAATGTTCTGTCTATCTTTCACTACTGTCGAAACAGACCGAGATGCTATTAGGGTAAATTGAGGTTAATGTTATCACATCATGGATCTTTCTTAGTCAGAGGATTTCACTACTGTGAAAGAAGCTTAAAGTTAGGTTGCAAGTTGTTATCTTTTCTTCATTGTGGATTCATAATAACAAAAACATGTTCACAGCATGATATAATTCAAACATTTACCAGATGTTTTTTTGTATATAAATAAACCTGTAAATAAAATGCTTTAATTAAGGTTGAAATAATTATAACGAGCATTTCTATGTGTGTGTATGTGTACAGTATACACATTGTCTATCATCATCATAAATAAAAATGGTATCCCTAACGCAAAAACTACATTTTATGAAAAATCAGCACCAGGTCCTAGAGTCGACAATTAGTTTAGTTTATTTATTTTTTTCGAGCGTGTAAAACCAAAGAAAATACAAATGAAACAAAAGGTGATACAGACATGATACAGTACTATACAAATGAATGCAATAACAAAACGAAACATTTAAATAATAATTGAATAATCTGCAGTATCATTGTCTGATATCAATAAACAATAAACAACAAAGCTTTAGCTAATTACACGTCCGAAAATGACATGTGAATGAATGGGATTCAAATGTACAAAAAATATTGATTATAATCTTTAATTATTTTATTGATTCAAATGGAGATCTTAATTCTGCATCAATTCCTCAATTATCCTAGGGTGTTCTTTGTGATGGTGAGGATTTCATCCGTAAATATTGCGAGCAAATATGTAAAACCGTTTTTAAGCCAGATCTCAGCAGCTTCCAAAGCAAAGTTGATTTTTTTAAAAATTGTAAATAATTGCTTACAGTAGATTTGGTTGGGAGTGTCCTGGCAACACAGCCCAACAAGTGTTTTCAGTTTCTGATTCATTTACTGCTAAATCCTGATTGGTTCTTGGAATTAAGTGACAACAACTTTGTAATACTTAGCCCCGCCCACATCAAACCTTTAAGCAGAGCACAGACATAATATTAAGAAAATAAATCTCCAGGGCTTTTGATTCCTGCGTTAAATCCACTGTGTAAAACATTAAAGTCCCTCCGTACCACTAGATGAAACCAGTTGCCCACTTTTAGCATCCGTCGATAGACCCCATTGACCCACCCTACCGCCTTGTCAATAGGCAGAAAATCTCATTACCTGTAATGTCCGACAGGTCTAAACATAATTATCTCTGACACTCAGACCTCTCCCATTTCAAACCCAACCAAAACAGGGACAGCGTTTTAAATAACCCAATCAGCCCGCTCCCCACGGTCAGATTTATGGCCGTGTGTCCACAATGACAGCTTGTTGTTTGCAAGCCACTTGCAGTGATCAATCGGCCACTAATCCCCAACACCAACACCACAGTCGCAGCAACACACCCTTAAAGTGCAATCATCCATCAAGCCTTGGGCCTCATATCAGAGATTGTTGGGTCGATGTAGGCCGCGCTCGATGTATGAGGTTTCCGATGGAGCTCGGACAAACGATGAGGTGAACATAATCGAGTGTCTTGTTTTCATAAAGGCAACAGCTGAGACCCAGAGAGGGTGGGGGAGAGTAGAGGGGGTGCAGGAGGTGAGGCAGAGGAGATGGAAGAGGGTGGTGGTAAAAATGAAAGTGCATTTTGAATTGTGCACATCCTGGGCCTTTCAGAAACACCTTTCTTCAGAAAAAAGCAATTAGCGGCCTAATTGCCTGCAACAGTAGTCCACATTGCCTTTGAAATCTCTGTTCCATTCTAACAAGTTCATTGGTAAATGGACAGCATTTATATAGCGCTTTATCCAGTCTTTACGACCGCTCAAAGAGCTTTACATTCAAGTCATCATTCACCCATTTACACCCCATTCATACAGAGCATGTCCTACTTTTGGTCAAGGAATCTAACATTTACAAACATTCACACACTATGGGCCATCGGGAGCAAGGACACATCAACATGTTGACTGCAGGTGGCTAAATGTCATATCTGGATCTTAGGCAGGGAATACTTTGCAAAGCATGTAGAACCAACATCTTTCACGCGTCTTTATAGTTTATCTGAGCATTGTCTGCTTCCTGCAGGGACTTTCTACAGGAATACAAAAAGACAAAACGAGGAATGAGGGCAAATTCTTTGTCTATTGTGTGATGGCTGATTTTGGACAATTAGAGTCCAAGATGTTACCCCCCCGGCCCCAAAAAGAAAAAGGCGACAAATGTTACCTGCTGAGCAAAGCAGTGGACCAGCAGCCTTGAATGATGCATAACAAGAGCTGCAAAAGAGGAAGTAGTTGATAAAGAAAAAAACATGTCAGTAGTTAATAAGAAAAACACCACAATCACTTTAAAGTGACATGTTAGAGCAGCCAAGCCCCTGTTACATACAAAGCAATGTAAGCGATACTTAGTTTCTGGTAACAATTTATAGGATTATAAAAGTGTTTCCAATAAATCCTGATAGGGGCATACTTGGCTGTAGGCTATGTACTAACATATACAACAACATGTCCAATAGAATCGTCAAGATATTTAACTGAAAACGACAAATATGAAAAAAGTAAGTAATTGCTCAGCGCTTAAGGAAATGTCAGGTGGCAATCGAGGTGATGATCAATCAACATTTGACATGCTAGGTATACTACAGAAAAACTCAGGGCAGTCTCTAGAGACCATGAATGTCTACACAACCTGTCATGGAAATCCTTTCAGTAGTTGGAGTAGTGGACCGACCAACAGCCAGACAAACCAGGCCTCTACAAGTACTACTAGAAAGTTCAAAAATAGCGAGGCATTCAATCAGTCAAAACTGCAGTAAAAAAGAGAAAGGGATGTAACACAAATTCAAGACAACCAGGAGAGCAAAGAAAATAATGTCATCTAGCTATAACATGCTTCATTGGTAGTTTAAATCCTTCGATAACCGTGATAGAAAAACCCAATGACACACATTGCACATCCTTTGCTGCCACGGAGATACATCATCATGTAAATCAATTTCTGCAAACACAGATCTAATGAAAAAGGGCTTTGATGATGTCAAACTCAACTTGCTTATTAAGATCTGCATTATATATATCAGACATTCATTTAAAGCTGTACTGACGATCAGGTTCAACAATATTGATGACATGGATTCAAGGGGCCAGGGAAATGCCAATACCACTTGCATTACATCTCTTGAAATAGGAGTTATGTGCAACAGTTATTCACACGAGTTATATGAAAGACTTTAACACACCTGATGCAACTGCACTCCAGACTCAACACCGCACTGCCACCATGTTACCTCAAGAGGGAGACATTTATACAATAAGCAAGATAGTGTGGAAAACAGAAGAAAGAATCAGCTGCATTTCAACTTTGACATCATTTGGCCATAATATAGAAACATCTTCAATATGCAAGATGGAATCACTTTCCTGTATTAATCATACTTCAAATCCCTTCATGCAACCACACACACACACACACACACACACACACACACACACACACACACACACACACACACACACACACACACACACACACACACACACACACACACACACACACACACACACACACACACACACACACACACACACACACACACACACACACACACACACACACACACACACACAATCAATTACCATCGTGACAGAAACAACCACGTGTTAACATTTCATTTTTTAATTCAATCCAAGAGTCACATTAACAAGTTATATCATAGCAGTCCTGAACAGACAAATTCAAAGTAGCTTGCAGTAATGACTCTTCTCCATCAAAATGCATTAATAAAATAAAACCTGTTGAGTATAGAAAAAAGACAGGAAGTAAAGCTACAGAGAAAACAGAGAGTTCAGTTTCTTGGTCCACGGACATAAGCCATCAGAAAAACACTATTGCTCTGTCAAGAGTACACAAGTCTTTTGTCTTAGGCTCTCTGCTGGACAAACTGTGGGAAGCAGGCAGCAGTAGCATAAATACAAGTTTATCTCTCGCAGGTTTACATTTGATCAGATTGATAGCAAGTACAAAAATTAGACTCACCTCTACAGAGGTATTTGACATAAAGGGAAAGTGTGAAAAACAAATGGACCCGCTATATTCGTACAGCCCCGATGCCAAATTGTACTGAATATATATAAATGCACATATTTGACTTGTTGATAAAATATATGATTCTTTAGAACTTCACATTGACATTGTGTTACAAAAAACTAACGAACATAACTGGGTTACAGTGGCTCAGTACATTTCATTCTGGGTCAATGCTTTGTTCTCCACCTATGTAAACAAACAGTATGGGTTCCCTTATACATACATAGTGAATTGTATAATTAACCACCTGCTGTAAAATCACATCACTTGGGAGTACATTTAATATTTAATCATTCCACGGTGCAGTTTTTAGTCATTCCAATCAGAAAGTTGCTGCCAAGTCCTACGCATTTACAAAGTTGTTTCAAGCTTATACAAATTCCAAAATTCAAACATGTCAAGATGTTTACACGAACCAAGGTCTTACGTAGGACGAGGGACAGCTTTCTGTAATGTGTGATCTCTAATTTCTTCTGCGCTTTCATTATCGCAGCAGATATTTGAATGCAAAAACGTTTTATATTAACAAAATAGGGCTACAATACTGTAACCTACAAACTTAACATGCTTTACTAAAAAGAATTAAGAAAATAATCTAAAGTGCAAGCACAAATACGTACAAGTTTAAAAAGGTGATAGAAGTAAAAGATTGTTGTTTAACATGTTAGTTTATATATGCGTACGGTCTGTGTGTTTGTGCGATGCGGCCCGTCATGTGGTGGCAGACATCACCTCGAGGCCCGACGCACTTAAACAATGCCTATTTCAACCTGCATGCCTTAAACATCATTTAAAAAAAGTCAATGGTGAAAGAAGGTTCAAACTGGATAAAAAGTTTAAATTTGAAAACCATGACTTTTTGGGAATATGTCCACTGGAGATCAGCGCTTTGGGTAGCTTCTGATTGTGACAAGATTGTCTATACATTCTCTTTTTTAGCATAAAAACTCTATAGATTCAAGGCTATCGGTTTCATTAAGAAATCTGCATTGTTGTTTCTAAGCAGTCAACTTAGCAATAATCAGCAGTAATAATATAACAACAATAAACCTTTACACTGTGTAGGAGGTATACGACACAAAACATTTGCAGTATTATACAAAGGAAAATGATAATATAGCTCATTTTTCACCATCAATACAATCTGCAAAAGAGAGAAGATCACAGATCTTTGTCATGGCAGTGGAAATAAAAATCATTCATATACGTATTTCAAAAATTCACAAAATGTCCCGCATTTGGAATATTCTAAATACATATCAGAACTCTTTAAAAGCATATCTTTTGATAAGATTTAAGAGATGTGAAATATTGCTTCACCGAAAGCCATAATGAGAGTATATGTACAGTATGCATGGTCATGAATGGGATGGGAACGTGAAGCTCACCCACACAAACGTATACAATTCAAAGTTGTTCATTCTGAAGTGATATCAATAAACACAAACTGAATGGACTGAAACCATGAATGCACAGATCCAAAGTATAACTGGCTACAAACAGAGTCTCTTGTGTTTCATTCATCTGCTCAGGAGACGTATTCTATATAAAATAACATGATGTATAGCACTGTACATTTTGAAAGACGTTGTAGTATAATATCGTTTCACATAAATAAGGTAAAAAAAAACAGCCAATTACATGTTTGGCAAATGATCGAAATGAGCATCATTGTGTGTGGCTATCTGGCCAATACATCCAGACATTGATTGTAATTTTAGATTCTTGATTTAAAAATCAAACAAAGATACTTTATGGTAAATTCTGGACACATTGCAAAACGCCAGGGTAAAATACTTCATACTGAAGTGAAACTGTGTGCTAAAATATGTTAAAGAACACTAATGACTAAAGAAGAGTGATTTGAGATTACATTTGTAATCCTATATAGTCATAATAAAACATAGGCCAACCCAGCCTTTGATTATTAACGCTGCAGGCTGTTAGTGCACTAAGAAGTCATAAAATCACATTGTGTGTCAATTAGACCATGATAAAAAAAACACAAAAAACAAGGCCAACATATTACCAAAGGTGGATATTTTCCAATTCTCGACTGGTCCCTTGAATGGGGCTAGATGCAAAAGTGCTTGGGTATCTTTTGAAAAACAAGCGACTTAAGGCCCATTGTTTGAATATTCCATGAACACATGAGAAGTAGGCGTTTCAGAGATACTGAGGATATGCTGTGAAAATGGTAGGAATGACTACAAATATAGCAGTGTAAGACAGAAAGGGAAGTATTATGACCACCTAACTAACTGTGCTTTCAATGGCCACACATTGTGAGCCCCCTCCCCTCCTTGCAGCCATTACACCACTGACAGAAAAGGACAGTACAGACATGACGGGTGACATTAAATCACCCAATGCATTTTTGGTCCACGTTGTGTGATTTCAACAATAAAAAATAAAAAGACACTTCAATTCGCCAACCTGAAAGAAATGTGTGAAGATAATGTGACTGAGGAGTAACAGATGATTACTGAAAATAAAGACATGCACTTCACCCAGTGAGCGTCAAAAATGATGACATCATACAAGTTACATTTTTCATTTTTGTCACTGAACCCTGAGCTAAATCAAATGTATCACTGTATGTAAGAGGCTCATAGCAATTATGACCGTCCACTCACAGAGACCCGGGTTAACCTCAAATGTGGCTACTGTAGCTACAATTGTCACCAGTACCCTTAGGACTCCCTTCTTCAGCTGAATAATCCTCAATACTGCTCAAAATAACATGAGCCCATGCACTCTGCACTTCAGTTAAAAAGGCAGCTACCATTAAAGAGAGGAAACAGATACAAGTTACAGGTAAAAGAATCCAACACTGATTTTTACTAAATATTTGTTAACTTCCCTGCCCGGGGCTTGTGTTTTTTCTCGCTTCCATCATGTTGAACACATGAACAGATAGCACTATGTTGGAGGAAAAAACATTTGTCCGAGGAATCTTTTATAAGTGCTTGCCCTTCAAGTATTCAAGCCTCTGACAGCCATTGTTTGGCATTTTGACGATCCTTTCTATGAAAAAGAAAAAAAGGAATTTATAACAAAATAAACTGATTACCAGAATGAAGATAACAAAAATCATGGATACAATACTAATAAAAAAAGGGTAAGGTCAACTTCTTCATTTTTGGAGTTGTGGTTACTAAAATGATGTCACATACTTGTCAAACATTTTACTAACCAACAAGTACATAGCTACCCTCTGCCCCCCCCACTACACAACACCCTCTCACCAGGAGAGGTGTTGGTTTTTCTCCCACTTTCTAAACCCTTTTAGTTGTGTTTCTTGAAAAGTCCATCTATTGTGCCGTCATGGTCTTTGGGGCTGAAGTCAGGGCAGATACCGTTAGCTGTTTTTTTGTTGGCAGTGCCTCGCAGCTTCCGGGAAGACAGGCTGGACTCTGTGTGGTGAACGTGGCAGGAGCCGCTGCTGAGGCCTGCGTTCTCTGCGTACAGGTACTCCTCTGAAATGTCTGGGTGCTGCTCCACAAAGCATCTGAACTTATCTGTAGAAAGGCAAGGCAAGTTTATTTATATAGCACCTTTCAACATAAGGCAATTCAAAGTGCTTTACAAAAATGAAAGACATAAAGAAAATGGCATTTAAAAACAGTCATTAAAAAGCAAAGATAATAAAATAAACATTAAAAGAAAAAATACATGAATAAAAGTTACAGTGCAGTTTAAGATATGAATAGTTCAATTAAAAGCAGCGGCAAAAAGAAAAGCCTTCAGCCTGGATTTAAAAGTAGTCAGAGTTGCAGCGGACCTGCAGGTTTCTGGTAGTTTGTTCCAGATATTTGGAGCATAATAACTGAACGCTGTGAAAGACCACAGGAGGGCGCCAGAGGCAAAGAAAGCATGAGACTAAGGCCTAAGAAATGCCCAGAGACAGACTGACATGGTTGTGAATCTACTGCTCCTCATAAGAGGGTGAAAAAAAGCTAAATGAATAAAGATGACCTTATTGACTTAATTGTATCAAATCTTTTACCAAATGTGATCTTCCCTGTGTCTTCGGGATCGATGGCAGTGAAGAGACGCGACACGCTGAGGTGCGTCACTCCTAAAGCCGTTTTCAGGATAACTGCCAGCTCCATCTCTGTGATGGCACCGTCCTCCTCTGCCTCAAACATCTGCACAACACACAATGGGGAGAAACGCAGGTGTTATCTCTCTTGTTATCAGCACTCTGACTGGTTGTCAGATAAGGAGCCAGAGAAATTGTTCTTTAAGTGGTTTCCCTTTTTAGAAATCATAAATCTTTAATACTACTCAAATTGTTTGGTTATCAACAGATTGGTTGTTATGATAATGCACATTACATCCGATGTAATGAAATACACATCTGAGCATGAACAATGAGAAAACTATGTTTAAACATGTGTCAGTATGCTAGAACTGCTTTATTAGAACAGTTAGCGTCATTTTAACACAGCACATGTCTCATTGAGATCCTAAGCAGGCACAGGGAACTCTTTTTCTGTCTGGTGGTTAGATAAGCGTAAAGCTTGAAAACTGAACATACCTTGAAGGCCAATTTCATCGTTTCCAGAGTTTTGGCGGGTCTGCATATGACAGATAAGGCTATCACATATTCTCTGATATCCATGCAGTTATCTTCATGCTGGAAAAACGAGAGAAAAACAACGCTTTACGAAAGATGAAGACAAGAGGATGTGAGCAAGGCTACTCATTTATTTATTTCACAGAAATAGCTGCGGGTGATTGTTGTTTAGGTCGTGAACACATCGCTGCAATAAAAAACATGATTGTTTGTTTGGGTTCTATACTGCAAATGTATCCCCGAATGAAAAGCAAGGGGCTGTGATTAGATTCAAATATGCATCTGGTATTCAATGCAGCCTCCAGTCTTTACAGTGTTTTTATAGAAGCACTTTGTCAACTGCCTGCTTGGAGTTTATTCATGCACTAAACTGAAGCACAAAATGCTTACTGCACATGTATCACAACTCCTGTCATTTAGTGTAGCTATATTGCAGTGCTTTATCCATTGAAAGCGAGTATTACGTAATATGAGTTATCCTTTAGAGCTGTCATGGTTGTGAGTGAAACAGTTCCAGTCTTTACCTCATCAAAAAGAGAGAACATGTCTCGGAGCATCTCTGAAACTGGCACGTCGAGGAACTGAGCAAAGTCGTCCAAGTCCAGCTTCTGACCTTCCAGCTTCCTGGCTCTGTTCCCATAATCCTGCAGAACCTTCTCAGTGTTCCGGGGTTTTAGCCTGGGGCAGCAAGGAGGGATACATTTCCAGTCATTAATAACTGGGTCATAGAAAACACACAATCATAGAGACCATATTATAGAGTTGTATCACATCAATTTCTACCTTTTTTGGACTGCATTCAATTAAGATTCTGCCGTATTTCTGCCAAATAATGAACATTTTCTATCCTTTTTCTCTTATCTGCACTAATCGTAGTCCATGTCCCTGCCAAATATTGGACTCCATCATAAGACTTAGTGCTGCCAGTTTCTCCTTTCTCCTCCCAGAGAGGAGTTGCACCAATAAACCAAGCCATGTGTGGACACTATCCCCCTCCAGATCACACACTGTGCAGGCACAAGACCAACCAATGGAAGTCAGCAGCACAGCCACAAGAACACAATCCCATACTCCACCACCTGTGCACAAGGCCAGTTTGATTCGCTGGAAAGCAAACCACTGCCAGATATTGAATCCGGATCCCTGCAGTGTTTGGTGAGTTCTTTGCCCTTGTTTCACCCTTTTGCCCCTGGCTTGGTTCTCTTTGATGGGAGGATTACATTGGAATGGTTGAGAGACTCACCCCAGTCTCCTGGCGAGCTTGGAAAACTCCAGCAGGCAGGTGTCCACTGGCAGTCTCAGCTGGCCTTCTGCCATGGCCAGCTGGCAGTCTTCAAATGAGTAGTCTGTGATGGGAACCCCCAGGGCTCTGAGCAAGGCAACAAGGAGACAGTGATCAGTATGTACAAATCAATACGAACTCTGGTGAAGACTCATAAAGGATAACTTAGTTACTGATATGGCAACTTTGACGATTGGAACAATGTGTTTAGTTTTTCTGCAGGACTTTTGTTTCCCATCCCCAGCTTCAAGAAGTGAAGCACAGAGTGTGGGAGAGAATGATAACACAGGTAAACTGTGAGCACTGCATACGATGGTTTAAATGTTTAAATAAACAATACTGCAGGAGTTGTTATACTCAATGCAGGAGAGTTATTCAAGGCAGACAAAGCGTCAATACTCAGGAATATCAGGGATGCAAAATGTAAATAGAAGGTTTCAATTTAACAATTTATTTTTACATTTTCATAAAGCGATTGACCTGTGTTAAACTCTCGCCAATCCTTCTCCTTGGTCGAATTACAATATTGTTGTTGACCCAAAAGCAAACACAGGCACTTCCTTGTTTGTTGCATTGCTCTTTGTCCCTTCTAGACAATACAAAAGGTATATTGTATTTGTTGTTTATACATTTAAAAAATAACTGTGGAGAGTTATCACCTATCCCCTCAACTTGTCCCTTTGTACATTCAAAAGGAGCGTCTGCCACATATTATATGAACAATACATTTAACTTACTTTGCCAAGACACGTCTCACGTTGATAGCATAGAGAGCAGGGTTCTTTTTCTCCTCCTCTGATGGTGTGTAAATGGGAAGGAACTGCAGAGAGACAGAGAGAAGAAATGAACTTCCTTTCACATAGAATAAGTTGAAATACTACAAGTGCAGGGATTATCATGACTTAATAGGGCAAGATGTACATGCAGTATGGGGAGCTTACCTCGACCACAAACCTGTTGTGCAACTGGCAGAGTGTCAGCCATAAGATTTCAAACCTGTGAAGATAAAAGGACACGTTCAAAAACAGTAAACAAATGCAGTAACAAAGACATGTGATTGGTGTCCATGTCCATGGCAAAAAGGGTCTGACAAAGACTTTACGGTGTGTTCAAAAGACAACACTTTTTTCTCTCAGAAATTGCTCACTTCAACAGTTTTTCTAAATTGTTCACATTGTTAAATCATTACTTTTCAAAACCAAAAAGCCAGTGTTTGGACAGACAGTTTTTTTTTTAAAAGTACGCTTGTCAAAGCTTAGGGAAATGCACACAAGCTCAACTTTGGTATGAATATATATATGTAAATGTAGTATTACTCTTAAACCTTCTATGACAGGATTGAAATGAAATATAACTTTATAGTCTGACTGCATAATGTTAGAGTTCGTGTGTGTCTTTCAGAGATTTATTCCAATAATGTATAGCTGTGCTCCTCCGAGCCGGGCACACAGCCAGATGCATTCACAGAGCCAGCATAATGATGGAACCCACACCGAAACGTGATACAGACACATTATTCTACAGACATATATTCTGAGGATGCTACAGGGACAGATAACAAGGGCAGTGTTTCTCCTCCAGCCAGAACTAATCTGCTTCCAGTCTATTTGAGATCTCAGTGAGGAGATTCTGGTTCAGACCACAATGTTCAGTTCAAAAATAGTATCCTGCACTTGAGTTGTAGAATGACAACCTTGACGAACCTTGCAATTATGTTCATAAGAAAAACTATTACGCTAATCTTTTTCAGAGACACTGTTAAATTACTTTATTCAATATGTATTTTTTTTTAGGTCAGAATAATTATCTTTCTGTACAGTGTAACCCTAACCCAGATGTTGGAGGATTTATACAACTTAATTATCATCATCAACCTCCAGTCTTATTATCATTTATTTTATTATATATTTATGATTCATTTAAAAAGAGTTAAAAAAGACAGCACATTGTACATTTTAACAGCAAGCAAATATACCGAAGCACACTTTATATGAAATAAGAAATTGTGTACTTACGCTCCAGGCCCTTGCCACGTCCATGTGATCGAGTCCTGGAAAGAACATGAAGTGTAAACATCAGTGGGAAGTAAATATTCATTTTAATATTTCAAGAATGCTTTTCTTATGAACTGTTTATTTCTTCCTGCAGCTGTTCCTGCTAAGAAACAGTTCATGCTCATTTGCCCACCAAAAACCAGATTAAGCGTAATGAGGTTAAGGCAGGAAATCACCATGCTTAAATCATGATAAGATCAGTTTGCCCCTTCTACATACAAATATATACCAGTTTTGGCATATTTCTAAGAGTAAAGAAATGATTTTTAAGCACAAGTGTGTCTCGTTAGTCATTGCTAAGTGCACAGGTTTACTAACAGTAATGCAGGCATACTGTAGTTACTAAGGTGCATTCAAACACACTGACTTAGCAAGAAAATAAGTTACATATTTCAGATATGTATCAATCTTGTGACTCATTTATTTCAAAAGCCTAACCACAGAGTCAGGACTGGCACCACTCAAATGTTGCAACTACATTTGTGATTTCTGCAACTGACCTCAGATATTGCAGACCATATAGCAATAGCACCCTTAATAGAACATGTTAGCTGCATTTATAACAGCCTAAAACAGTTCCATCTCACAATGTCCTGCGTGCATTACCACAGCCTCACTAACAACAAGCCCTATAACAAGAGATATGCCTTTATTTGCCTTCTGAGTCACACCATGATTAGCCAGATTCCCAGTCAGGCTATCAGGAAGAAACTCTGTGTGCGCATCACTGAGTTCTTCTCATAACCCAGATGTAAACGACGTCAACTAAATCAGACTCTTTGTCGGTCCAGTAGGCCTCTCCTGAAGAAAGAGTCCATCATTCATACGAGACGCAAATGAGTTTAGTTAGTCTGATCTGAGCATCCAGAACATGAGCGGGGTAAACTCATTCTTTCACAATAAAATCATCACCTATATAGAATATACTTGCCAGAGGCTGTGGAAGCACAATGGGAATTACATTTGAATCATAAATTAAATAAACAGTTGTAAATGTTTTATAAATAAACCAAAATAATGCATTCACTTAAGTATGCTGCTGCGGCAACATGAGTCCCATATGCCCACAGCATGCACATAATTACTACACGACTGGATTACAAAGCCTTCACAGACACATGATATCTGGGGAGCTTTGCAGTTGAGTAGGCACAGGGAATGGAAGCACTGATTGTGTTTTTTCTTTTTATATTGACTATTTTTGTTTCTTGTTGTGTTCGTTTTAAATGTAAGATTCAGCCTATTAACCAATAGACACTGTATGTGTTCTCTTCTTTACCTTTTAAAACAGTGTCAGCGTTATCCCTGTATTTAAAATCAAACAATGTGACCACGACAACAAGTGTTGACCGGTGGAGGATCTCACAGTACCGTATAGGATTCTGCTGAGTTTGCACATCTTTCTGCATTACTCAGAACATTTTCTCCTTCATGGATACTATATATAACTGCAATATCCTTCTACCCACCAGGTGACCGGCAATATCTTTACCTACCCACTGAGTGAGACTCTGGTGAGGTGCCAGGCATAGTATACACACACATAAAAACACACACATTCACACACAAAATATGGCGCATGCAAAATCCTTCACAACTAACATCGCTGTGAATATGGAGATGGCTGGGGAGTCACTCATGATAGATCCCCTATTGGTTTGATTTTACAACATTTCAATACAAAATAGAAACTTAAATTGTTATGTAGAAAACTAAAATCTTATTGAATGTTTGTTCAAATTATCTTACCAGTTTATTGGGGTAACGAATCACTACAGGCTGCACGGGTACAGCTGGGATGAAGGCCCCTGCAAGAGTAAACAAGACAAATAAATTGGCTAAAGAACAATAGCACAATTATTTGAATAATATTTGCATGTTTTGTCGGTGCACTCAATGACATTTTTACGAATCAAAAACACCAAAGGAATCCATGCAGAAATTAAAAAAGGCATTCATTTGCATATTCAAATATCTGCCAAATAAATCAGCCACCGATCCAGCCAAATGCCCAACCTTATTTTATCTCTATGCTTTATCTGTTTATCAAAGATGTTCTTCCAGCAGATTTTTTTTTAATTGTAATAAGTACATTTGCACGCAAGGTTAAATGTGAAATGTCACTGCATGTGAGCAAAATGGCAGCATCATTTTGAAGGATAATCAAAAGAGAAAAGCTTAATAAAATGATGATGGGAGCGTTTTACCTGGCTTGAAGGTGATTAGGCAGGATCTATTTGTGCATGTTCCCTCTGGAAATATCATTATCTGTAGGAAGGAAGGAATGGTTCACAAATAAAAAAAAAAAAAACAGGGGTCTCATCCTGAACAAAATGTTACAAAACAAAACGATGTTTATTAGCTTGCACTAAAAAAATTAATCAAATTAAGTGTACTCCTGTTTAAATCAGGTGATGTTATCTGTATAAGCATCACATTTCTGTTTACCTGAGGCCATTCCCCCCCTGAGTGGGCTCTGCGTTTGATCTCCTCCACAGTCTTCTTTCTGGAGTCCTGGTCCGACCGTGAGACAAACACCGGTCTGATGAACTTAATCAGAGCTGGAAACAAGAACGCAGAAAGAACAGATGCTAATTAAGTAATTTAATTTGACATGAACTAATGTTTCTATGCATTATTGGTATCTACTGCATTAGGTAGAAGGAGAGGGGGGAACTCTGACAGCTGGATCCAACAGGAATATGCACAATTTGCAAGAACTCAGACCAGTTAACAAGGTAATACATGCCGTGTATGTATATTGTGCCGCAGGGATGACGTACTTTTGTAGGCCAAGCCAGAAGTTATCTTTGCCCTGGTTCCTTTAATCCTCTAATGAAAAGTCAATTGTATTTCACCATTTCCCTTTTTCAGATTTTTGAAGCATAAATGCAATCACCAGAAGTGAGACGGTAATGTTTTATAATAAACTATACCATGGTCACATGACTATAGTCTAATTTAGCCACTTGTTAGCAAACAAATGTAAGAAAAGTACAAGCTTTAGAATTCACAAGTGGGTTATAAGCTGACCTTTTTTGTTGTAAAACACAAGTGACAATCTCTCACTGCCTTAATCACAGACCTTATGTCTGCCATCAAACTAAAAAGCCATTAAAAAAACTCATTGACTGAAAAATGATAACATTTTCAGCTTAAGGACTGATTACTGCAGCAATATATTGCCTTAAACAGTAAAAAATGATGTAATTAGCATTATGATCATGACTTTTGAACGATCAGATACATCATTTCAAAAGCAAAAACACTTCACTAAGAAAAGCCAGGAAGGGAAGAGAGCATATCTCCTTTTCACATCAACCCCCACTCTAATGATGTCCTTAAACAAAGCACTTGAATCCAAATTACTCAGCAACAGAGCTGCACAGTGAAGAGATGAAGAATGTGGCTGTACTGAAACATTCCTCTGTGTTTTTGTGACATTTCTGTAACTGAAAAGCACTGTTGAATAAAAGGCTTGGGATCTGGATAGATACCAAAAAACTACTGTCGAGTAAAAACTGATAAATTGAGTTAGCAAATGTTAACTTATCAGTTTTAATCAGGGTGCACACTTTCTGATTGTGGGTGAATAGACGGCATCTATTGCACGTCTGTCCGTCCTGGGAGAGGGATCCCTCCTCTGTGGGGTTTCTTTGGAAGTTTTTTCTTGTCCGATGTGAGGGTCCAAGGACAGAGGGTGTCATATTGATATTCTGTACAAACTGAAAAGTCCACTGAGACAAATGATTGATTGATTGATTGATTGATTGATTGACGAAAATCTACTGGCCCCTTGCATATTTTACCAGCATTTGGCTGTTTAATAATGGCAATTTTGTTCCCTGGTTTAGTAACTTTTTTTTTTTTTTTACTGGGTATTGGATGTGGTATTACCAAGCCAAATGTCATTATGAAAAATGTATAATATAGCATAAAACAAAAAATATAAATTAGGAAATATACTGCAAGATATGTCCGGTCTCTTTCTCTCTGATTATAGGCCAGGAACAAGCTAGTCCAAGTTACAATGGTTCTTATCCAATCAGGTTTGAGGGGCGGTCAATGGGGTTTTAAGAAACTGCTGGCTAGAATACTGATGATATGTCTTCCTCTTATTCAAAATGTATAATGTTTTGATGGTTATTTTACACATTGAGAATATCATGATTGATACTATGGTACTACAAAAATGTGATATTTATTACAGTTAAAGGTAGGGTAGGTAAGTTTGAGAAACCGTCTCGAGATCGCTAGAATTTGAAAATACACAACCGGAGAAAATCTGCCACTTCCTTATAGAGCCCCTCCTCCAACACACACGAACGCGCACATGACCAATGAGGGCACGAGATAAGTTTGTGCACAGATGGAAGGCTGACAGGCAGGTAGGCCATCCAGTTATTTTAGCCGGGCCGGCTAAAATGATTGGTCGTGCTTTTTACAGTACTACGGCTTCCACAGATGACATTTTTTTATGGATTTTTTGTCAAAGCACTTAAGATATTCATTGCTATTGGGATGTTAAGAGCATTCCATGGAATATAACAAAAAGTGTATCTCGAGCCGGTTTCTCAAACTTACCTACCCTACCTTTAAGTTTCATCATGTGCAACTGTATGTGCCTGAATAAAGTCAGATCAGACTATTTAACAAAAAAAATATTGCAACAACCTTATTTACAAAATATAGTTAAAATAAACATCACACTAAAGTCCACGGTCCACCACAATACAACATTTATCAGAAACCCCAAGACAGCTCTGACAGAGACACAACCTTAAGAGAGAAACAACACGCTATATGCCCGAATATACACTAATGTGTGGGCAACATATGATGAGGAAAGAAAAGAGTGAGGCCATTAGAAGAACAACTTGATTCCAACTGTGAGCTGTCTGCCCAGAGGAAGGGATTAGGTCTCTATCTGGTACCCTGAGACACTCTGCACACGTCACCGTGGCTGATCAGGTCTTAATGCTTTTTCTGGACTCCACTTGTTTGGCCAGGCCAGCATGACTAGTCAAACTTAATTTGAGGGGACACATTAGTTGATAACCTTTTTACCGAAAAATAAAAACAAAAACAAAAACAATGTTCAATGAAAATATAAGACATATCCATTGTTGCTACTAAGGTTTCTTCGAATCCATCAAGTTGATAGTAATGCCAATTTGTCTACGAGAACATGTGTTCTCAATCCTGAAATACGGGCAAGTAAGGCTTAAGTTGTTTGGCAAGCTTCACTCCGCAGGAAGTGGCTAATTACTGATTTAGTGGGCAGAGAAGGGGGGGAGAAAGAAAGGCTTAAAAAACACACACCTAGTACTTTTACTGCATGTCCTGCTGGCTGGGGGCCAGAGGCATAAAAAGGCCTGGGGCCTCATTTATAAAGGGATATACGCTCAAAAAATGGCGTACGCCAGTTTCTACGCAATGTTTGCGATTTATAAAATACTAACTTGACGGGAAAATGTGCTGTCCTCCACGCAAACTCTAACCCATGCGTACGCACTAAGCACACAAACGGGAGAGACGAGAAACTGCGACACCGTTGGCAGAAGGAAGAATGGAGAGAAATATGTGGAAATAATACCATAAATAAAATGTTACCTCTCATTTATCAAATATGAAGAATTCATTTTCAAACATTGATTAAAGCCAATCTTTAAATGATTAAACAAACGCCTGTTTGAAACTCCTCAGTGCACACAAAAACATAACTTGGAGAAATAAATAAATACGGATATGCTATTTAAAACCACCTCGAATATGTTGTGTTAATGTTATGAAATGTTTTCTCATAAATGATGCGGTAAGCAGGAGGACAGAATTACGTCTAAACTGACGCCGTTTTGCATTTCTATAGGTTGTAGATACGAGCATGGTTTTATATACTATCACGTTTAATCGTGTTTTATGCCGTTTGCCAAGACTTGATAAGTAGCTCGTAAAACACAGGAGGTATGGAAACTAAGAACACCATATGTGGTAAATTGTACAGCTAATATAACACAATCCATTAGTTGTATTTCCTTTAACAGGTGGATTATGGATATATAGTTGCTGATCGACAGCTGGAACACAAACCACCAAATACAACAAAAATAATTCAGATCCAGTCGTCATGACTCCACTCCGGAGGGATTCCCCGATCATTTCTTAGAGTTTCTCATCAAGGGGGGGTCTCCTGTCCCCGGTACAAACACACTGCCTAAGGAAGGTTATGTGTATTTTTTTTGTCATTAACTTTTTTCGGACCACTTATTTATTTATTTTGGTGACGATCCGACCTCCATGCTGCTACTCTGGTTCAAACTGCATCCACCAAACAATATGATTTATCTCGACCTCCCCACAATAACCTAAATCTGACACGGTGTGAGATGTCTTTTTTAGCTGTTCTATCGTAATTTCCTGCGATCTTCTTCATGCAGTCAGTCAAAATGAATGAATGAATGGGCGTTTCTTTGACTATGTATAGGCAAATATGGGCGTTACGAGTCGATTGTGATTTATAAAGGGAAACAGGCGTAGGGAGTGCCGTACGCACTTCCCTCGCCGGTACGCAATGTTTTGTGAATCGGAAAATGGCGGAAAATTTATGTACCTATTTTTGTGCTTTGTACTACGTAAGCAACCTTCCTACGTCAATCCTACGCAAGGCGTTATAAATGAGGCCCCTGAACTGGAACTACAAATGAAACTGAACGTATAGGTACAACCTGTTCTTACACTAAACAGTGTGTGTACTGGCGGTCCCTCAGCAAGGCCTACTTGAGAATACTTGAGCAGTGGTGTACAGAAAGTAACTCAAGCTGCCTTTAATTGCAGTGGCAACCACGCTTCTAAACTACAGCAAGACATGTGTATTCTTGTGTTAACATATTTCCTTTACAACCACTGCTTTGAATATAACCAAGCTGTTCTTGACTTCAACCCTTATAGAGAAGGAAAAGTAGATTGGGCAATCTCTTCATTAAAGCAAGATCCCAGAATCCTGTTGTGACCTGCCTTTTACCAAGTAGAACATCACAACACAGGGCACAGGGCAGATAGAACTATGAGACTAATATATCCTGGTATGCGTTTGGTACTTACTGCCCCAGAGAGGTATGTCCTTGCTCTCAGCCTTCATGACGATGGAGGCCATTGTCATGGTGACTGGGATGGCATCAAAGTAGGACGAGTGGGGGGCCAGGGTGAGGATGGGTGCTTCTGCAGGCAACGCCCTTCGCCCTTTCACCGTCATCCAATGGAACCCCCCCACAAACCACATGACCCGCATGATGATCTTCAGAATTATGTCCACCACTCTGAAAACAAAATCATGCATGTGTGAGGCATCTTTCAATTAAACTGCAGACCGGGACCGTATGATAGGTATCCAAAGACATTTAAAATAGAAAAATATGGCTTGGTAGAAATTAAATGTTGAATAAATAGGATCAGTGAATAGCACCGAATGTAAAAACAACAGAATTGAATGATAATCTATACAGAAATAACAGTTTACACACCAAGAGGAACTTTTAGAGAACCTAAAAATGTGGCGTCAAAAAAGTACAGGCGTCATCTATATGACATGATTCAACCGCATATTCATTAACCTTTCTGGTGCTATTTTCTTCACGAAGTGGAGACCTGTATCAGCTGTGACAGTATGGAGCACAAGACTGAGACAAAGGGTCGAACATCTAAACCAGGGGTTTTCAAAGTGTGGGAAGGTGAGCCTCCCCTCAGAGAACATAAGAACAGCGGCGCCCCCCCTCCCAATTATTATTGCTATTATTATTATTATTATTATTGTTGTTGTTGCTATAATGCAGGGGTATTCAATTGCATTTCAAAGAGGTCCAGTAAGATCAAATGAAGACTGTTTCTCTCCTCTTGTCTCGTCTCTGTGTGTGTGTTTGAATCTATCGTGCTGACTCACTGACTGCACCGATTTGATTGGCTGAGTAGCGTCACCTCCTTAAAACATTAAACAATAACTTTTTAAAACATTTTTATCTTTATGTTTTAAACATGTTGTATAAAACTCCCCCACTACTTGGACTATTCCTTGCACCCCTCTAGAATAAGCCCGAATGGTCTCAACTTATAACAAGATCGCAAGGACACTGGTAGCGATCGGACAAGAGTGTTGTTCAGTGTGTTGTGGAACATGCGTGTGCGTGCATGGAAATATACCACACACCCAATTACAATAGCATGTTCAATTCACTACCATGGAAGTTAATAAAGTTGTTAAAGTTGGAACAGCCTGTGGACAGCCGTTCTTCCTTGCATGTCAGTCGCCGACACCTTCTTACAGAGGACAGGCAAATCTAGCTGCAGCACGACGTATATTTTCGCACGGTGTTCTCAACACATATTTTTTAAACATTTTTTACATTTAAAACATCGTGGATAAATCCTTATATGTTCCCGGCAACACACTGAACGTTAACTTTGCCTCCTTATTACACTCACCCCTACTTTAGTGGGAACAATGAGTCTGCGTCTCTGATGCACACAGGAATAAACGCAGATCATCCTCTGGCTGCAGCCTTGACCGGCACTTACTTTTGATCAAAGTCAATGTGGAAAACCCGCACTCACACAGGTAGGTGGAGGTGAAGGGAATGAGCACTTTTACAGCCTTTTTGGCGAGGTGGGGGAACTCGGTCTCCACAGACAGCCAAAAGTGTGCAAGTGTCACTTTACTCGTCTTTTTCTCGTTGTTCTTTTTCTCAAGCTGCGCCTCCCCTGAAGCTCTCTGGCGCCCCCCAGGGGAGGCGCGCCTCACACTTTGAAAACCGCTGATCTAAACTATTAAAGCTCAAGAATTACTTAAAATAAACTGAAAGGTAACATGGTTTTGGAGATTTTTTCTTTTTAACATAAAACTCTAAATTGCGACATGCCAGACATTTCGGCTTCCTTTTTATAGTTGCATTTGTATAAACACAGGTTAGAATGAATGAATTCCTGAAAATGTATCAATAGATGGCCCATTTCACAAAAGAAAGGAAATCCTATGATATAGTCTTACTGTTTGGATTCAGAAAAAGTACAATTTTGGAGCCATTTATTCCTACTTTAACCATCACTGGTGGCCTAATGCTAATAGCATTCTACAGTTGCTGCTATACAACTTGTTTTTAAGACAAATACAAGACAAAGCACCCACCTCCTCCAGAGGCACTGGGGTTCGACGGTGGTCTCCGAGCGCCCTAATGAGGCCAGGAAGGCAAAAGGCCAAGCCAGCAGCATCATGAATGCAGCTATGAGTAGACGGATGGGGAACAGTGTGACTGTCATTAATGCAATCTGGGAGAGATTGAAGAAAAGAGAAAAGGGAAAGGGTTAAACAAAACACACCTCAAAGTAGATCTTTCTTCATGTCATCTCGGATCAATTTAATCTATGCAGTATTAAGCCAAAAATGACTATGAAAGTACCCTAAAACTTGACATGACTCTTTTTTGATCGCAGGGAAAATGCAAGAACAGCTGACTTTATTGCATCTTCTGAATAAATTGAAAAAGCTCATCAGAAAACAACGATTGCTTTGTTTTATGCAAAGCACAACAAAGTATTAGCACTTCTGGCGGTGTTGGCTTCTGCAGCTTTTTCCTGTATGTGCATGTCCTCTGCAGTACAGACGGCAGCAGGCCGGCAGCATGGCCTGTTTTGGACCATTTAAATAGCTAGGTTTGTCTGCCCTAAGCTCACAATATAAACCTTTTATTTATAAATCCTAATCATATAAATGCTACTCGGAAGAAAGCCTCTTCATGTATTCAAAGCTCCGTAAAAGCTTGTTCAGTTTGGTTCGAATGGTGACTGTTTTTACAGCTTTTTATGACTCCCTGATAGCAGCACTTATCTTCTGTCAATATTTGTCTTGATAAAAAGCGCTACTGAAGGGCATGAGGCCTATCTGCACTATCTGGTCCAGGGAGAGTGTTTGTCTGTCAGCATGGTCAATCTAAATCAGTCAATCTAAATATGGCTTGTTGAACTACTGACAATAGGCAATTAACACATTTTTGACAGTAGTTGATCTTAACACATTTATTCTTTCCTAAAAACACACACCGCTGTTGGAACGGGAAACAACCATGTATAGATCATGATGGTATTAGCTACTTTCTTATACTGTCTACTGACATTACACACTGATCCTCCCACAGTGACACAACACCTTAGTTTACTTGTTCATAGTCCTCCAGACTGTTACTTTTCCAAGATCCTCTTAAGATACATTATACATTATGTCAAGCACACTTATGACTCTTTTTATACAAATGAAGTACTGCACTCAAACTGCTGTATGGCTTTTTATCCATGTATTTTATACCTGTTGTGTTGATGTTATTATCTTTGCTTTTTAAATGCCTGTTTTTAAATGCCTTTTTATAATGTGCTTCCACTGTATTTGTTCTTAAATGTATTTGATTTCATTTTGTAAAGCACTTTGGGTTGCCGTGTGCTGAAAGGTGCTGTATAAATAAACTTGCCTTGCCTTACACACTTTTGCACAACTGACAAACAAGTATTTTTTTCCTATAATAAAATTGGCCTTGCCTTAAATGCTTGAGAGCCACTGTATAATGCATTTGTTTAAATATTTATTGAGACCTAAAGCATGAGAATGCATGAATGTCAAAAATAATTAAAATGAAGGCAATGCTATAAAACCAGAGAGGTTTTTTAGGAGTTTGAGTGAATGCAGGCATTGTACTAAAGAGCATCTTAAAAGCAATTGTGAAAGGAAATAAACAATCAACTGTTCTCATGCAACTTGGGAATTGTATTTTAATTGCAAAAAATCACATTCTAAATGTACACATTTAACTAAGGCTTTTTGGTATAAAAATACAATAGTATAAAAAAAGGAAAAACGCAAAAAAGCCATTAGCAGATATGACTTACAAACCAGCAAATGCAAAAAAAGTGAACCAGATGTTACCAGTCTGTTGTTATTATTTCTGCACGGATGAAGAAGGCCCTGCAAGGTTGAAACCCATCTGCATTTGTATTCATTATTATTCAGAAGAGAGTAGACCCTGTGTGTTTGTGAAAGCAAGCATATGTGTATTCACCCCCATCCAAATCCATAGGTGTTGTAGTCTTTATTCTGAGTGCATCATCAAACTAAAAAGGGAATGTTTTTCCAATGACAAACAACCATGCTTTCCATCAGATTTCATTGTTTTTTCTTATCTAAATCAACAGTAGGAAGCTGTTGTAAAAAGCTATAATTGTAACTGTTAATTGGTAGTAAGGAAATGCCAATGAGTTTCTAGTTTTACAAGACTGAACAATTTCCTCATTGGAGGGTTTTTAAGTTTAGTGAGAAGCTGCAGCACTTTCTTTAGTATTTAAAACATTGGTAGGGTTGTTCTGTGTGGTCATGGTTGTATATTACCACAATAAACATGTGAGAAACTTTGTAAAACGTCTATCACTGAGAAAGAACAATGCAGAAAACATTCCCCAATTTGTCTAACTGCACCTTACAATTATGTCGATGAATATGTATGACTACTCTTATGAGGAACATGTAAGTTGGCCACAAATGACAATGCACAGGCATGCTGTAGCAGGTGGCATAAGACCTCGTAATGTAAGAGTTCCCTTCAAAAGTAACTTCCCTTAGAAGAAAAAGGTTTGCGCAAATTCACCTCAAGTCATGACCTTAGGGTATTTCGTTGAATACTTAGGTTTCCTCATTGTGATGTGTTTTTATTTAGGTAATTCCTTGAAATTGGTTAGGTGTTGCAAATTAATCTTCATCAACAACTTATAAACCCCAAATAAGTGTATAATGGCTCAGTCGAAGAGAAAAAAGTTGTTCCAAAAATATTCGGGGCAGGAGCAACCCGATGGACACACTGACTGATGAGTAGCTGCTGTGAGATTATAGATTTAACTGGCAATCAGTTTATTTGTTGTCCAACGAACTGGCACTGGATTTGGAGCACTCGACACAGCTCAGCTGCCTCTCCCTGCTGTCCCACAGTAGCTACAGCACTTCCCTTCCATGCCACTGGCTTCTGTCATTGGTGATGTTTTTAGAGTACAAAAAGTCATCTGAACAGAGGCTTAGGTTTACCTCAAGAACAGTGTGTGGAGTCGTTGACATTACTTGTGCGCTTTTATCGCCTGCTAGACATTTGATTTCCGTACAATATGAACCTACCTTTGTAATGTACAAATGATCAATTCCCATTAAACAATTGAAAATATTTCTTTCGTGTTCCGTCATTTTTGGCAACTTTAAAATGATTGATACCAATGTGTTTCAGTTTGGTAAAGAGCTAAGTTTGGAATGTGTGTTGCAATTTACAATTTCCTTATTTCCTTAACTTACCTTATAAGAATAACTTAAGAATCTTTATTCAACTGGGTACTGCTTTAAATAGTGTGGGAATAAGCTATTGACTCAGTGCTGCATTGGCAGGATCAAAACAGATTTAGGTCTTTATGGGATCATTCTTCAATACATTCACAAAAGGAATGTCAATTAGGCCCATCTAACCTAAACTGGGAATTAAATCAACTTTAACACTAGCATCTTGCCCTCTGACACGTTACCAACGTTTAGGCTACAAGGCTAGATTAGGACTCTAATGTTTGCTGATACACCTAAAAACAATAACAAAAACACAGAAATGTGTTCTCACATTATGTCTATGCCTATCAACTCGGTAGATCAATTAATTAGCTCATTAAGGTGAAAAACTGCAAGCACATCTTTATATGGATTGAAAGGTCATGCTCCTGAATTACAGTATAGCCTACTAATGAGAATATACACGTTTGAACAGTTACTCCAAGATTTGGGTCAACTGGAGAGCAAGCTACTATCACAAAAATAACTAAAAGTAACAGGTTAGCAAGGAAGTGTGTTTTTTATTCAAGTATAGTGTGTAAGTAACTTGGCCAAACTGCTTTGTTTAAAAAAAGAAAGAAGGTAGAAAAAAGCTATTATTGCGGCCAACCGTTCACGACATTCACAAAAGTAACCTTCAATGCATCGGTTTCATTACATTCATTCTTACACCGTTGTAACTAGGCCTGTTGCGATAAGCAATTAATTGACTTATCGTACGATAAATAAAAATGAACTCGATAACTTTTCTGAACTCGATAAATTGCCGTTTACATGTGTGTTTGTTTACATAAGGATGAGTGACCAGCATTTTAGCCAGGCGTGCTGTGTCTGCCGGCCAGGGCTCACACACAGCCAGGTCAGGACAGTCCGCGTGCAGCAGTGTAGCAGCCAAATGAATAATATAGAGACAAGCAGGAGACAACGTGTGACTTTGTTTTAAAAAGGTAGCAACAAAAGCTAGCAATACGATCAACCTTAAACTGCACCTGAAACACAACCACCTCATTCCGTTTTCCCAGCTGGGAGCAAGGCAGCTGGAGATGGAGAGCCCCCACCTTCCCGACAGTTTACAATCAAAGATTAATTTGCCCGACAATGCAAACATGTTGGTGTTCATTGTTTGATTGATACAGATTTGGATATGGCCTGTTGAGGGTTTTTTTTGCTTGTGAGACTATATACACACACACACACACACACACACACCACACACACACACACACACACACACACACACAACACACCACACACACACACACACACACACACACACACACACACACACACACACACACACACACACACACACACACACACACACACACACACACACACACACACACAGCTACACACACACAACACACACACACACACACACACACACACACACACACACACACCACACACACACACACACCACACACACACACACACACACACACACACACAACACACACAACACCACACACACACACACACACACACACACACACACACACACACACACACACACACACACACATACACATACACATACACATACACATACACATACACATACACATACACATACACACATACACATACACACATACATACATACATACATACATACATACATACATACATACATACATACATATATATATATATATATATGTACATATACACACATATATACACATTATTGTTTTGGTTGTGTGTGATTTAATTTTTTATAATTTAATTTATTTGTTTATTTATTATATATAATTTATATATTTGAATATTATTTCAAATTTAATTTGCAATGTTGAAAGTTCAATAGAAAAGTTCTGTTTGAAAGAATGTACTTGAATTATTATTATATATTATCATTATGTCAGTGGTCTAAAATGGTCTTACAACGGTGCCGACAATATTATCGTTTATCGCAATAATTTCCGGT